AATCGAAATCAGAAATCCTTTAGATTGAATTCAGGAATGATTAGCTTAGGGCTTTAGTTTGTTGAAGTGAGTGTGCATCAGAGTTCGAAGTTCTGCGGTTCTTTTGGTTGCTTCGAAAGATATCGATTTTTGAGGGTTAGAGCTCGGATTTCATAACTCTGGGGCATCTTCCGAAGTTTATGCATTGGTTTAACGTAGTGGAACAAGAAAACAAGTAGTAGTTTATTGTTGGTGCAGGTTTGGTTTTGTGTACAAATGGATAATTCCAAAAACAGGCAAAGTGATAATTTGGGCGTGAACAAAATGGGAAAAAATATAAGGAAGAGCCCACTACACCAGCCTAATTTTGGTAATAATGCTTCTAGACAACAGCCTCAGCCTCAGGTATACAATATAAGTAAGAACGATTTCCGAGACATTGTCCAGCAGCTTACTGGATCACCTTCACACTCACAGGAACCTCCTCCGAGGCCTCCTCACCATCCACCAAAACCACAGAGCAATCGGTTGCAGAAAATAAGGCCTCCCCCATTAACACCCATCAACAGGCACCCCATGCCTCCGCCAATGCCAGTCCCTGCAGCCTCTCCCCCTGTTCCTTATAATAATAGCTTGCATAGGCCTGCTCAATTAGGGCAACCATCTCCAACTCCTATGCATCCATTAAATCCAGGGGACATGATTTGGTCTCACCCCACTGAGTCACCCATCTCTGCTTACATGCGCTACCTTCAAAGTTCAATGTTGGATCCAAGTCCAAAGGGTGGCCAAGCTCAACCTCAACCTCAGCCACAGCCAAACCTTCAGTTCCAAGGGCCAGGCAATTTTCAGCCCCGACCACCATCATCTGCTTTGCTTCCTAATCCTTCTGTGCCTCTGCTCCCTTCTCCTAGGCTAAATGGTCCTATTCCACCCATGAATGCCGCTAATCCATCTATGCCGCCAAACATTCCCTCCCCGCAACCAAATGGTCCTCCACCTTTACTTTCTCCAACCTCCCAGTTCCTCTTGCCATCTCCTCATGGTTTCTTCAATATGCTATCCCCACGGTCACCTTATCCGCTTTTATCACCTGGAATGCCGTTTCCATCTCCTCTTACACCCAACTTTCCATTCTCACCAATGGCACAGTCAGGGATTTTAGGCCCAGGGCCCCAACATCCACCTTCTCCAGGCCTTTCATTTCCATTGTCTCCTTCAGGTTTTTTCCCTGTCTCAAGTCCTCGGTGGAGAGATCATTAGTCTTTTCATATTGATGCTTCGTTGGGAAGTGCTCTTTTCCAACTGGACTAATCTTGATTCTCGCAAGAGCTTTTGTTCATTGCATGTAATGTACAATAAGTTTTATAAGGTCTTTCTGGCTTTTTCTCGTGTTCCCTTTTCATTTCTCTTTTTTTGATAACTAGAATGGATGCAACCCTTGTACTTTGACAAGTTTTACATTAGCTTATATATTGAAGAACAGACAACTCGATTGGACAATTGGACAAGGGCGACATGGGAGATCTGAACTGTAAAATGAAAGGAAGTAGGATTACGGACAATATTTTTCATGTAGAGTAGATAAAGTTCTTTTATGATATAATGGGGTTTCATATTTTGTCTTTTCTATGGAAGGCGTCTTTAGATGATATTGTGCGCATTAGTCATTACCATGTCATCTGTTCAAAACGATATTTGCTTTCGCAGCTGTACAAGTTTTTGTCGCAAGGATTTCCTTATTTGATTGAGAGGCTGGCTGGCTCGATTGATTTGTTTTTCTGCTTCAATTCGATTTTGCATATGCGCTTGTTTAATAAAAATGATTAATTCCTTTGGATGCGTCTCATAAGTCATAAGGCACTGGAACAATGCTGTGTTAGAACTTAGATTCGATAAATCATCATCAATAAGGATTTGAAAAAATTGCCAAGGGCTTGAATTCAACATTAGTGGCAATGAAGTCCCTTGAAAACAAAAGTCATTTACAAGAGCCGGTGGTCAAAAATTTGAAATGAAAAATAACCAAATGTCATAGTAACGTCTTTAAAACTGATGGTAATGTCAATAAAGAAATGTTACCATGATCTCTAAGTAAGTAATTCTGTCTTATAAAGGACGTTTTGATATAGGTATAGGCTTGGCACCGTTATTGTCAATAATACTTTGTTACAAAGAGAATATATTCAAGCTACAACGTGAATTGCAAATATTTTGACTTAGTGATTCAATTTATGATCACTCTGAATTCGTCATTCGCACTCTCACCTTGGTGTTTCTCCTTCGTATGTTTGGTTTCCTTTTTGAAAAGTGTACTCCTCCTTCAAAATGTCAAAAGTTTAATGATGTCTTGCTACGACCAACATATTAATGTTACATTACGTGTGCTCTCTTCATCACCCCGCCTACGTGTCATGCCCTTCACCATCCCTCTTCCCCTTAAAGCGCCAAGCTATTGATTTCCAATCAATCAGGCACATCAGGCAGCGTGCAACAAAGAGTGATCGCCATTCAAAGCAATCAGCAGGCATGTGGGTCAGCAAACACATGCATCATGAATACTCAGCAGAGCTTTTATCCTTATCAAAAGAGCTATCAACCCTTATAGAAGGTATTGGGTTTGAGTTTGTGTAAATTATTTTTGGAAGAGTTACCCTTTCATTTAGGATATAATTCCGATCAATGTTCAAATCAATCCAAGTTACAATTCGATGCAAAGCGAGGAATCTTACTAGGACTTGACATGCCGCGAATCCTGTTGAAAGAGAGGGGTGCCTTCGGGAACACGGACGCAGGTGGTGCATGGCTGTCGTGAGCTCGTGCCGTAAGTTGTTGGGTTAAGTCCCGCAACGAGCACAACCCTCGTGTTTAGTTGCCAATGTTGAGTTTGGAACCTTGAGCAGACTGCCGGTGATAAGTCAAAGGAAGGTGAGGATGACGTAGAGTCATCATACCTTTTGTGTCCTGAGAGTTGAATATATTTTTGTTATGCCAAAAAAAAAGAAAGAAAAATACAGTTTTGAATATCACATGATTTGTTGAAAACCCCAAAAAAAGAAGAAGCAGCCAACATGGAAGGAGACAGGCAGACGTGGTGATGTTGATATACAGCATACGAACTTCCATTGCTAATCAAGAGATGCCCAACACTTGTTCGCATCATTTTATACGGACAAAAGTGCACATTTATTTATTTTCAGTTTTATATAAAGTTTCACTTTAATTTTTTAATTTTATTAAATATCTTGTCACTCCTTCAATCCTAATAATACCTACAAAAAAATTGATATCAGAATTTTAAATATTAACTGATTAGAGAACTGAAAATACATTTTTACCTTTTATACCTGAGGCCCTGCCCCACAACAGCAACACTCTCCCACCATACCTATAAGCAATTTGCTCACTAATGAATTGCTTCATCCCTCTCCAATGCCTTCCTAAAGCCACACATCCCTTATCTTATCCTTCCAACTCAGCCCCATTTAGATCATTCAACTCAACCTGCTATTACATACACCTCTCAACCCTCCTCATTCTTTTTGTGTGTGTGTTATAGCTTTATGCCTTACAGTTACAACATCTATGCTTTGCTTGACTCTTATATGCCCTTAGCTACATTTAATTTCTACCTCAAATATAATCCACACATATAGTGGTACTAACATCTATATTCAAACTTTTATGTAAATCTGATCTGACAAACTTCCGACCGGAGCACATTCTCTATGCTCTTCAATTAATGCATAGCAAGATTCTTGCTCTGTATGATATCTCCCACATGCGAAGCTGACATGCCTATAATCCCCAGGATTTCATCCCCATTCAATATTCTTTTACTGTGTTCTTTTTTTTCAAATGCGACATTACATTATGTTTCAGTTAAAAAGGTCTGATCTGAAAAATGATTCATCATGTTTCATTGACAGAAGTATTCGACTTTTTTGTTTTCTTTAACAGTTTAATCTTTTTTTTTTGGGGGGGGGGGTGCGTAAGGATATATAGAGAGAGGGAATTAAAGTGAGAAAAAAGGGTCCAAAATGAAAGGAAGAGGCATGAAGCATTGATTCCAGATCTCCTGATTGCTACTCTGCATTACGCTTCATCGGTGGACGATGTGGTTCTTTTCAATCTCACTAATTGACAAAGCTAATTACCCGTTTGTTTAAGCAAAAAATACCTTTTTCTTTAAAATAATCAGTTGTAACAAATTTCAAGGTGTTTGCTTAAGATTTTAAAAATAATCGGAATCTAAACGTAGTCAGATATCTGATTATTTTGAGAAGCGAGTCTGATTGGCTTCTAAAACTAAGTCATATGTTAGAGAGAGAAGATAACTGAAAACTCGGAGATTTCTACGAAGATACTTCCTCTGTAGTTAATATAAAAGCTAGTTTGATATTCAATTTAGTTCTAAATATAAGATCACAGTCCACTTTGTCTCTAATATTTATCTATTTTTTCTAAGATAGTCCTTATAGTAGTTATATAAATGGTAATTCTAGCTAATACATATGATTAACAAGGATAATTTTAAAGAAGATAACACCTAATTATTTCTTTCAAATAATTAACTTAATAAATTTCTTTAATCTATTCAAATTAGCTAACTATTTCTTATATTAGGTACATGAGGTAGTGTTGCACAAGACCACATTTAACTCTGTGTTTGCTCTGCACCTTATAAAAAGGATTACACTATAGAGGGAGTAATAGTGAATTTATTTTTTATCTCAAACAAATATTATAAGATGAACAATACTTCTATGGGTTATATTTCTATAATTAGCAGACAAAAAGTATTGATTATTTTTCATCTTAAAATATAAGGAACGTTTTCATCTTATATCCGTATCATTTTCTTCACAAAACTACGTCTTTCAGCAGATAAAAAATGACACATACAGATTTAAGAAATTAGTTTAAAAATCGTGTTTGCATTAATTTTTTCGCCGGCGGGGCGTCTTCCATCCACAAGTCAAAATTTCTTGTACACATGCATTGACTGAATTACCCTCAACCTCACCTTTAATTGTTCCATCCAAATATACCCCAGTGAGATTACTCGTAAAACAAGAGGATGATCTTATGCACAGTTCGCGGTTAAAACGCGACTCCGCCAAAAACAGAAACAATACAAACAAAAATCTAAATAATATAGTAGTCTCGGGAATCCTGTTGCTCGTATTTTATTTGATTTGTGGGCTTTGACTCTACTTACCGCCGTCACCGCGACAGTTCATCCCTTCCGTGACGGACGCCAGCTTCTGCAAATTGAGCTTCACGACGGTATCGGCAAACAGACGCGTGTCCTCCCTCGTGTTACCTTCTGGTACATCTACTATGTAAGATTCCAGAATAACGGTCCAGATCTTCCCCTCACCCTCGAATCCGTGCACCGTCGTCACCGACCTGTAATTCCTCAGCCGGTGCTCCCCTCCGATAATTCTGAAACCCGTGACGTATCGGTCATCGTCCAGTATATCAAGCCTCTCCGTGCTGGTTTCTGCCGGTAAACCTGATATCACATTCACGTCTCTAGTGCAACCAACGGTCATTCTAAATCCTTCTTTGAGCGCGCAGCTCTTGATGAAGTGCTTATAAACCTGAGGCTTGTCGAAACGCCGCACCACTGACCACACCGTATCGGGCTGCGCGTGGATTCGCTGCGCCAGTAAGGATGAGCATTGGTCAGAGCCCACCATATAGGTGTGGTGCTCCGTCACCGACCGCTTCAGCCCTTCGAACTCGTCGTTGGTCAAGCCGGATGGAGCAGTAAGGTGGTGTTGGGTCGGGTTATTGACTTCGGAGTCCGCTTTAGAGGTGAAGCTTTGGCCTTTCTCCATTGTTGACAGAGAGAGAGCGGGGAAGAAGCGATCGATGCGAGTCACACGGGAAGGAGATATTGAGGGATGAACAGGGGCAATTTTGGAAGAGGGGTACGTAAAAACCAGCGATCGATGCGTGCGATTTTTTTCCTTCTTTTGCCTCGGAGCGTCAAATGGTCCTGGGCTCCTGGCTAAGCTCATGCAAGCCACGAGCCAACTCCAGCTGATTTTGGAAATCACATCTAAAGAGATACTCCTCCGGTCTTTAATATAGGATCCAATTATTGAATTGATTTTGGTCCTAAATATAAGACTCACTTCTCATATTTTTCAATTTTCTCTAAATTACCCCATGGATACTCCTTCAATCATAATCAAATAGAAGAGGGAGGTGGATATTAAGAAAGATGATTATGGTGTTTTAGGAAAAATGTGTCACTTTTCTTATAATTAACTAATTTACCTAACTTCCTTAATCTAATCAAATTAGTTAAATGAGTCTTATATTAAGGACCGGAAGAGTATTTAGATAAAAACCAAATCATAATTTTAAAAATAATTTTATGAAATTTAAAATAAATATGTGAGAGGAGTTTTATCCTGAATCATATGAAAATACATTTTCAAAGTGTTTCCAGCACTTTCCAAACAATCCTATCCGCAAAATTTACAGTTAAATATTTAAAAGTGTCAAATCATGAGCAACAGATAGGTAGTATAATATAATAACTCATTATTTAAAGGGAAAATGACAAAAAAAACTGAAAATTACTATATCTTAAATCAGGTTTGGTAATAACATTTTATTTGGTAATGATAACACTAAATTTGTAAATGACAACAAATTTTTGTTGATATTTTTTATTTGATATTTACAAATTTTCAGCTTTTTTTTTAGTCATTTTCCCTTATTCAAACGTATGGGGCACATTTAGTTATTTTTTTAAGGAAAAAAACTTTAAAATCCTGAGTTTTGATGAGTAAGCAAAAATATTCAGAGATTCAGAATTTAACAATAACTATAGTTTCTTAAGGGATTTCGAAAGATGGTTCATGCCAGATCCAATTTATGGATTATACAGGCTACAAGATAACTAGGTAAAAGAGGATTCGTGTCTAGCTATTTTTTGAAAATATATTGTCGAAGTACAGAAATTTATTATTCAACTTTGATATATATATATATATATTAAAAAAAAAACAGATTGGCTTGACATTTAATCGTCAAGATATTTGCGATTTATCTTTTAGTTAAATAAGATTGAGTTAGATTAATGGAATCCCTGTCCGGACACAAAGAAAGCAGGCAAACACCAAATATTAACAAAGAGTAATTGAGCTGCCAATTAGCCTAAGCCTCTTGTGTCTTTAAAAACGAAAGGAACGTCCCATTCAAAAGCACATAAATAACTCAAGAGTAAAGGCTGGGTGATGAGAAATCACGATAAAATAGAGCTTGGTGGTGTCAAAAGACCAGTAGGTGCATCATATGTAATGTCCAAAGAAATAAATGCAGAAAATATTTAAAGATGTTGAAGGGAAGGGAAGGGAAGGGAATGTGTCAACGGGGAAAGGATTAAGTTAGCAGCCTAAGAGCCTGAAATGTGGCCAAGTGGAAGGAGGCACTGATCTTTTCTTTCCTGCTTTGCTTTTCCTCTCACTCCTCTTTCCTCTGTTCTTTTCCTCTTTCTCCTTCACAGCACTCCCATTTTTCATCTCTTGCTGCTCCTCTCTCCTTGCCTTTTCCTGCATCCTTACACTCTTCGTTTCCCAACACATCAATTAGCAATCTGGGTTCTCTCAAAAAGAAGAACTAATCAAAGTTGACAGATAAATTACCTGTAAAGGATCAAGTGTGTTAAGATGGGTGTGGGGAATTTCTCTGTCTTGCGGGATGGTGAAGGTAGGGAAAGAGTAGAAAATCTCTGTCTTGGTGCTCTGGCTGGACGAAGATTCGCCTGATGTTTGTGTTGAAGCAAGCGACATCAGGTATGAACTGCTACTTGAATCTATCTCCAGGCATAGCTATAATCACATTCCAATCACAATCTTCAATTTTCTATATTACTTGACCTCAACAATTGATATGTGAGTTTTCAATTTAGTCTCACCTGGAAAAGTCTCTGTTCAAGAGAAGCCACTCGATCCAGCAATAATGTGTCCTTATAGTAACTCTGTTTTGCAGTAAAATCCGGAGGCATGCTTCGTTTCTCAGCGTATGCATTGCTCCCCGCTGTTTGTTTCCTTTCTAAGTATTTGATCTGCCATTGCACCACAATAATCAATGGAAAACCCAAAAAAAAAAATGGTATTGATTGATGCAGAAAGTAGAGGGAAATTCAGTAATATGTAGAGAAAAGGATCAAGGGAGAAGCTCACAATGAACTCCAGATGATCTACCCTAGAAATGAGAGGGAGGGAAGAGTTAGATGGTAGTGTGGCTTCTTCCATTACAATACAGGTTTGTTTGTGTTCAGATGAGAATGAGGTCATTATAACAATAATAATTCAGAAATTAGGTTTGGGATTAAAGCGTTATTATTTGATGAGAATGAGATGATTCAGAAAAAGGTAAGTAGATGTTTCAGCTGCTGCAGTTACACTTTCCCTCGTGTTTTTTGGATCCATATGAGAGGACCTTACTGGTCAATCGCTAGTTTGTTAATTACGTGTCACACAGCTAGACTTCTGCAAATTACCATTGTAATGAAAAATGGCATATGGGTGGTCTCAATGATCGGCTTGGCTTTGATATTGAATCTGTTTTATAGGCTTGGTATTTGGTCTTGACTTTCTGATTGAGATCGATTTAGTTGGGTCAGCTTGAGTTTCATTTATAAATATATATATATTTTTGGAAAAAATTGAATATTTTTTATAAACCCATACGAAATCACATATTGCCTTGTGTTTACAAAATTATATTAATCTTTGTCAAACTATATTTTAATCATTAAAAAGTATTTTTTTTATATAGTTGTATAAAAAATTCTAAAAAAGATATGCACGATCAAGCCAGAGAATCCTAATCAAAATGTTACTCGAATCCATCTCCACGCATAGTTAAAATCATCTTTGTTAAAAGGAAAAACGGCATAACTACAAAGGTCACATTCATTAACAATGTTCTATTCATTAGCTTCAATGATGGACACAGTATCAGAAGTCATGCAATCCCATCGCAAGCACAGCGTCGGAATCCAGCGTCATATCCATGCCTTTTTACTGTGTTCATGGCAGAATTTAATGATTCGGAAAATGAATGATTCAGTATTTCTGATTCATGAAAGATAACAATCCCTCGCTCGGAGCACTTTGAGGGCATATCTACGTGGCAAGCATCCTTGTCAGTTTTATAATTTTACTTATGATCATTTATTATAGCTGTCTATCTATTAAGCAATTATGCCCATTCATTATCAGACCTTTTCACCTTTCTTTTTCTATTTTTTTGATCAATTTTGAACTATTCGTGGGGACGGGCGACTCAAAGCATCGTTTTTATGCGTGATATATTTCAAATAATGGTTTTTGTTTTACGTCACTGTTCGTGCCAAAGCAGCATGGTTAGATTCCAAATCTTCTGTGTGTGTTTTTTTAGAAAATCATGTTTGATCCAGATAACCGTAACACTTCAACTTTTTCTCTGCCACATATTTCCAACGCATAACCATTTATCCGTCTCTGAATGAAAATATGCCAATCCACTTCTAAATCAGCATCAGCATCTTGCACGCTTTCTGGCACTGACAGATCAACCAATCCAAGCCCCTTTATAAAATTTCAAGCATGAACATAGAACGAAGGTGTGGAGCGAGAAGTAAATATCACTGCTGATAAAAGAATGATTATTCCTCGAAGACTAAAGATTGAAGAACTGACAGAAGATGAACGGGTGGGGCTGTATTGCAATGAACATAAATATTATGGCTTTTGCCTTTTTGGGACCAGACTAAGAGAAAATGGGAGACCTGGGCACTAAATGGTATCCTCATAAGAACTGATCAGCCCAGAGCTGATCTTGTCATCTCAAAAGCCAAGAAGCAAGCGGCATTTGCAGGAACACTTCGCGCCATTGCAGGACCAAAACCCTTGTAGAGGCCTTTGAATCCCTCTGAAGCTTTAATCTTTCTAAAGGCATCCCATGAACCAGAATACCTGGGATTTTTGTGATCATCTACCTGAATCACACTCTTCACAACATCAGTTGGGTACACTAAGAACCAGAAGGAAGCTCCTCCCAAGCCTCCAGCAACTAGCAAAGAACCTCTACCAAGTCCAGAAGTATCCTTGCCTCCAGCAATTAATTGCTTTATTGCTTCATATACACCAAACATAACAGCATTTCCAGGTACTTCACGAGCTAATGTCGGAACCAAGCCCTTAAAAAGACCTCTCGCACCCCCTTCTGACCTGAGAACTTGCCGGGCCACATCCATGGGTCCCCCATACTTCACAGCCACAGTAGCTGCTCCAGAACCTGCCAGCGCACTTTGTGCTTGCAGCCTGATAGCATCAGGAAACGAACAGTTAACTGAAAGATCAATATATAAGTCCAGTACTAATGTATCAACAGTAACAATGGCAGAGAAAATTAATCGAGACTACAAATTTTAGGCTAAAATTTAGCTTATTCTCATTACTCATTCTTCTGTTTCAGCCAACAATTAGAGACAAAATCAAGTCTGGTAAGGCCCTTTATAGTTCATATGTTATAACAAATGAAACAATAAGATGCATGCATACATATGAACTTGGGACAGTGAATAAGTAATTATTGCGAAGCTCTCATAGAAATTACAGAGAAGTAGAGGGGGAAAACAAGCAGTCATTCAAAATAATAAGCTATATCAACACAGAGATTAATTAAAAAACACCTCAGGTAGAAAACGAAATAAAAAAGGCCGTGAACAGAATAACAGAATCAGTGACCTGCATTTGATTAGCTCAGTTGGGCACGCTAGAAAGGAAACAGCAACTCCAGCACCAGCACCACAAACAAACTGCTGATTTACTGTAAGAGGGGCACCGGGATGCGATCTCAACAATGCCTCCATTTGTCCCCTTACTGTGAACAGGACAGCATTGAAAGCTGCCACTGTTGCAAGTGGAGCGCCCATACCTTTGTACAAGCCCCTTGGGCCTTCAGCTGCTAATGTTTGCTTGACTGCATCCATGGCGCCAGCATACTTGGGAGGCTGGCCAGGGGCTGGTGCGGGCTGGCTTTGAAGCTTGACCTTTATGGTGTCAAATGGGTGTCCACATATCAATTGTGCTGCCCCTCCAACAGTTCCTGCAGTAAGGTCCTTAGCGACGTCTCCCATCTGCAAAATAAGGAGGAATAAAAAGGATTGAAATAACGTAATATGAAGCATGAATTTAAATTACCATATGATAAATTTAGGGTCCTTGAGAAAACCAAATTGAGCAAAGTAAGAAAGTCGGGTCTGAAATCAATAATGTTACAAACCATTCAACCAAATACAAATCCAGCAATGGAAAGGCCGACAAATAAAAAATTTCACTCAGTCAGCTGAAGATTGATTAACTAAAAAGCATCTAATATAAAGAACTATAACATTCTAAGTTATAGTTGATGCATCTACATTCCTTACAGAAGCAATGTTGGATTAATTAGTTATGTTTTAGCGGCTCAAATCCACCCTGTATCCTTTTGTTCTTCAACGGCCAAGAAACTGAACCGAGGAGCAATACAACAAAACAACTTAGAAGTAACACAATGGCAACAGCTGAAAGGACCTGTTCGATCCAGCCATATGTTTGAGATAAAACCAATTCACATAAGTCCTCCTTTCCGCATTCAGACGTTACAAACTTCTGAAGGGTAAGATAAGAAAACATCAACTGTCTCAACTCTCAAGTAGACAGCCCAGGCCATATTCTTTTTCATCCAAAAGGGATTGTAGCTACTGAAAAATGTTAAACAAAATTAAGCGGTCTATTGACATTTATACCTTATGCACTAATGCTACGTGATATGTTTATTGCAACATCACCACCCGATGATTACAATGACACTCACAGGCTTAGAACGTCTGAAGAGACAAAATTTTAAATATGCAATAGTTCCGGTTTACCATTTCTTTCAAATGAAATAGATGGAAAGCTATTACGGCACTTTACAAGTTCTGCTTGACAGAAGCATTGCAACATCGAACAGATGTTTTGTGAAAATCACCGGGACACTGTGACTCAATAATAAGGAAAAGGTGCAAGTCCAAGGAGAGATTTCAATCAAATTTAATAATTATTCTTAATAAGAAATTTAATCCCTAAACGACTAGAATCAGGTGTATCAATATTCTACTATCCGACTAGATGTATGCCATGGAAAATTCCCTCAAAATACCCTCCACGTATGCGCATGCCTATGGTCCACCTACTCTTTCAGAGTATAGCACAAGCATTGAAGAAAAGTATAATAGAACTTGAAAGCGAATATGAATAAATTTTAGTTCAACCTATGACAGGCGAAAGAAAATGACTCTATATCTTCGCTTCTTGCGTTAAAGATTAGGAAAGAAAACAGTGACAGAGAGCCTGACATTCAATTCCTCAGTATGTGTATTGAAACCGATACTACTATACATTTTAAAAATATTTTATTTAAAAAAAAAAAAAGTCGCACAGCTAGATACAAGCACCCGTTAATCACAGACACACAAAACAAGACAAATTAAAAAAAAAAAATTATGTGCAATACAATAGTGGCACTAAGCAATGGAACAAGCAAGTTCACTGATGGTCACCAGAAAAAAAGATCAATTCGGGTATGGAGACCTGACACCAAAACTTCGTAATCTCAGATTCAAGATCCAAACACAACTTGCATAGGCTGTTTCCAATGCAGCAACTCAAGCCAAAACTCATATGGAGTATCAGGAATCAAATTATCGATGGCATTCGCAAATCAATAGTAATTAATTCTTTGAACTTTCAGCGTAGAAAAGAGACTTCGGACAGAAGCTGGCATCTTACCGTGCCCCTAGTTGTGTCCCAAGGAATCAGATGTAAAGCAGAATGAAAATGAATCAGATAGACGAATCTGAGATTAAACAAACAAGACAGAGTAGAAAAACTATCTATCCACAATGTAAAGCCGTAACGAAGACTGTAGCTTTACTAAGCTCGAAATGTAAAGTTGGGAAATGGGTTCGTGAATCAAGATATAAAGAAACGGAAAAAAGGGGAAAACGAAACCTTTGCTAGGGATACAGAGCCACAAGCGATAAGTGTGGGGGGTAAGGAAGAGCGTGAGTGTGGCTGAGACGCAGCCCAGAGAGAGGGGGAGAGAGAGGCACACCCGTGAGAAACAGATACGACAGAGATTGTCAGAGAGGGGAGAAAGGGGGCAAGAAAATGGGAGCAAAAGCCAATCTCAGCCACTCTCTCGCCCTCCAGCCCTCACCAAACAAGCCAGACTTGAAAAGTACACATATTTTGGCAGTGGTTGGTGGAGAATGGGATAGAGGGGCTCCTTCACTGCCACTCGCCAAGCGGCAGGCGCATGACATTTGAGTACGCACACAAGAATGAATTTGTTAAGATATACATTATTTACAAAATACAAACCATGATAAAACTAATCAGCATTGGAGTGCTACTTTAGTTACAGGCTAAAAGATGATTTATTAAATTTTAGGAAAATTCATATCTTCTGTTATTTTCTTAATATATTAATGCAGGGATTTTTAGGATTTCAATATCAATTTTCTATATGAAATAACCTTTCCAGGTTGTCAGTATAAAGATAAAATTTTTAATTTTATAATCAATCTAATATTCAATTAAAAAAAACAATATATATATATATATATGGAGCAAGCGGCCTAATTTAAAAATCATAGGCAAACAAAGATGGATCTGAGTAGTATGAGTTCATATTCTTCAAACAAATATTTAGGGATTTGATTTTCTAACTTTTTAATATATGAAGCTTAATTAAATTCAATATTTGTCCTCTTTACCTCAAAGGATACTCCTAGTGTCTGAAAGGGGGGAAACAGTCACGCTAATTAAATAATGAATTACGTTATAATCACATATATAACTTATGAACGCATGGCATATTATAGATTTCATATATCATCGTAATTATTTTTTACATTATTAAATTGAGATGAGAATTAATCTTTTGGGACAAAAATTAATTTGTTTTCTTAGTATGAGAAAGGGAGTAAAATGGACTAAAATATCGCACGGATTGCGTTAATCGTTTCCTTTTTCGTTTAAACCATAAATGTGCGAATAATGGATCGTTATTGCGGTCAAATTTTAACAAATCGCGGAAAACTACAAGGGTAATGACCGGAGTTATTGGGCCAGAAATCTAGATTTTAATGGACATGAACGACGATTTTTTTTTTTAAAGATTAATCTGGGTTTATTTTGGAACCAAATGATGCTAAAAACAAAGAAAATAGAGAATACAATATTAATATATTATAAATGTACAACCCTTGTTCCCTATTGGCGAGTATGAGTAGGCAGATACTTCTTATATCTGTCAATTGTCAATATGCTAATATTGATAGTCAACAAAAAGCATTAGCCCTTAAAGGCTGAACTGAGTCAGATAGTCAAAGCCAAATGCCCGTCCAATATGAAACACTATCACTTAAGCAGATAGGAAAACTTAGTTGAACATGGTTGTAACCAGATTAATGGCCTCTCCAAATTTTCTTCAGTGGAAAAGCTTTGTACGGATCGAGTTGGTTTCCGGCAATATTGTGAAGATGGACAAGTTGGACTCGGTTTAAATGGCTTATTTAGCTGTCAAAACAGGAGGTATATTTTAACAAGGACAATAAATACAAGCAAAGATGGTTAAGTTTACTGGTTGCTTTGGTGTTAATTTAGGCTTATTCAAGTCTCTTTAAGGAAGTGGCTTCTGCACACTACTTACAGTCCCCTATTACATTACCAAGCTGTTCCAAGATTGAAAGTAGAACTGTGCAAGGTGGTTAGATGTCGGGTGAAAGAAATCGAAGACAAAACAAGCAACAAAGAATTGACATTTTCCATCCAAAAGTAGGGAATGCTTATAGCTCCATCTTTGGGGTGCTTGAGTGCCCGTTTGGATCAGCGATTGGAAAAGCAGCTTATAGAAAAAGTAGCTTATGAAAAAGTGAAGTTGGTAAAAGTTAAATTGGATAAGCTGAATTGTGTTTGGATTGAAATTCAGAAAAGTTAGTTTGTAAAAATAAGATTGGTAAAAGCTTGTTTGGATTATAGTTAAGCAAAAGTAAGTTCGGCTGAAAAATTACCAAAATGGGTATGAGTTTTAATAAATAATGAAACATGATAAAAAATTGATTTCACATAATATAATGAAATTAAAATAATTTAATTTGAAGAAATCAAATTTAATGAGTGAATTAAATTTTAAAATTTGAAAGAAATCATAAAAAATATTTTAAACATAAATTGAAACATAAAAAAAATTGAGATAATATAATGAAGAAGTCAAATTTAATGAGTGAATTAAAATTGAGAGAAATCGTTAAAAATATTTTAAGTATAAAGTGAAACATGATTAAAAAAATGATAAGAGAATAAATTCAAATTAATTTTATATGAGTAAATAAAATTGATTAAGTGAATTAAATTCGAAAACATTAGAGAAATGAGAAAAAAAAATAAGGCAAATAAAAACGAAACAAATAATTAGTTAAAACTACTATATAAAATAAACAAGGATTTAAGATAGGGAAAACAATAATAGAAATAAAAAATATTATAAATTTAACCTCATCCCATACTTCTCTTTTTCTTTTCTTTTATGTGGTTTTTGGAAGAATTAAAAGAATATGCTTATAATATAGAGAGGGGGAAAAACATAAAGAAGTGTTATAAATTTTTAATAAGGGGAAAATGTGAATTTACTTTATACCAGTAGCGGAGAAGCGTGGGAGCTCTCAGTGAAAACGTGTGAAGATTGTGAAAGTGAGCTGGCTCGAGGGACTGAGGGAGGAAAAGGCATATGAAAAAGAAAAAACAAAAATTATTTGACATGGCAGAACGGCTTTAAGCTCCTCTGATATAAGAATAAGCTCCTTCTTGGAGCTTATTCTAACTAGGCGTTTCAGTAGCTTAAAATTGGATAAGCCCAGTGAACTTCAAGCCTTGCCAAACGCCCTCATTCTCTCAGCCCAACTTAATTTAAAATTTAAGCTGTTTTTGGGTCAGCAAACGCTGACCCAAACAGACCCTGAATCACTCTAAAAACACTTTTAAAAAGTGCTTTCATGTTAAGATAAAACTCTTCTTTTATATTTACTGTAATATTATTTTTAAAATCATGACTTAATTTTCACCCAAACATTTTTCCCGCATTGCTATTTGAAGTAGAAACAGAGGGTCACCAATTTACAGTAGGGAACTGCAAGTATGAGGAATTTGATCCAAGATCTGCTCTGTTGGGCATAAAGACACACCCAAATCATGATATAAAAGAAGCTGATTTTCCGTCTGTATAATTGACGAGGTACCTCTCTGAAATTCTTTTGTCCGAATTGTCTATTCATAGGACCAGAAATAATGATTACCACATAGGGGTATTGTCTAATCGCGTTGGAGTCTATGAATCTTCTTCTTCATTCATGTGACAAATCGTATTAACCAAAGCAGTGTTTTAAGTTCGGTTTACTGGAGTTTACATTTCTTGCTTGTAAACTTTTTTCCTCTCATTTAACTCAATAACTCACACTCATTTAAACGCCCCTAACTTGTTAGCTTACATTGAACTGTCTCCTGTTGACAACTTTTTCTGTGGAGTTCATAAACTTCGGCTTCCTTCGTACAGCGTTACAAAATATCTTGTTTGATCAGGGAACAAACAGAGCTCTATTTGATTGATCACTGGTTCCCACCATATCCGTGGAGTGGGGCAAATAGAACAAGATATTAATGCTCCGTGGTTCTTTTCTTTTCTTTTGTACTGTGTTGTAAGTGCTATTGCCTCTTAGGGAATAAAGTAACTCCATCGTCCTCTTTAATTTCAATCTGCCAGAAGTTTCAAGTTTGTTATTCTTGGGAGAGCTTTTTTTTTCCCCCACTTAATTCGACAATTGACTTGTCAAGCATGTCCGGTTGGAACTTGAAGGCCTTTCGGATGAAGGGATAGTCGTACAATTTATGATGGAGAGTTTAAATGGTTGTGTGGGAAAAAATCGAGTATCGTATATATTACTATTGCTAGTTTATGCCATACAAATGTTGAGTGATCAATATTTAATTTTGTCATTAGGATTTAGGAAGCACGCGTGGTCATAGCTATAACTCCTTCATTTTGTATAATTTTTTTTATGTTATACGCGGTCATAAGCTTCATCTTCAACAGTTAAGGCGAAGTTAAAATACTGCTAAGCATTAGATGCCCATAAAATAAAGCACCCAAAACTGCCGTCAGGTTCTGAATTTAGCTCAGTTCTTCCCTGCTTCTCTCTTTCTACCAATTAATTAAATTTATGTCAGTGATAATGAAGAGTTGAACCATTTTTGCTAGAGTGAAAAGAAAAGGATTTAACTAAAACTTAATCTCAAGAATATAATAGTGATAAATACATATCAATCGAACGGGGCAATACCAAAGAAAATCTAACGACTCTTTTATTCTGACATATAAGCAAGCAAGCCCCATTCAACTTAGCAGCACTCAAGTCCCAAGCATTAGAAGATCGGACCGGCAGCAAGAATCTCTTCGGTCAAACTGTTGTCATTCCCCTTCGCGTAGTTTGTGAAGGTTTCAAAATTTTTCTTGAACAAACCAGCTAGCTTCAACAGAGTTTCGTTGTATGCCCGTTTGTCTGACCACTGCAATCCAACAAAAATTCCATGTAAAGAGATATTCTGGAAAGGATATTCTGGAAAAGACCACAACAAGAGGTAATGAAAACATAGTTCAACTTACTGTGTTCTCTGGTTCCAGAATTTCAGAAGGAACTCCTTCTACTTCAGTAGGAATCGCGAGCCCAAAAATCTCAGTCTTTTTGTAGTTTGCCTCCAAGAGGCTTCCCGAGTGAATGGCATCAATAATCTTCCTTGTGTATGACAGTTTGATACGACTTCCAGAACCATAGCTGTAATTGGCCAAGGCAACAAGTTCAGATTTTGCAAGACACTGTTTTACTCAAGTGATCAGAACTTATTGAGCTAAAACTTTAACCGTACCTCCCACCAGACCAACCAGTGTTGACGAGCCATCCAGTAGCGCCATGCTTCTGCATCTTTTCAGAAAGCATTGCAGCATATTTAGTTGGGTGTAGCATTATAAATGCTGCACCAAAACAAGCTGAGAATGTGGCCTGAGGCTCCTTTATACCATCTTCAGTACCAGCCACCTTTGGTCATTAATTGGCAGGAGCAAAAAAAATTAAGGAGGGTTTGAGGTGTAATACGAAAAAAACAAGAGTGTAATAAGTTAGTTGCGATAAATTACCAGGGCAGTATATCCACTGATGAAATGATACATGGTCTGAGACAAGCTTAGCTTACTCACTGGTGGGAGCACGCCAAATGCATCACAAGCCAAAAGTATAACATTCTTTGGATGAGGTCCCACGCATGGTAACTTTGCATTTGGTATATACTCAATGGGATAAGCAGCTCGAGTGTTTTCTGCAATAAGGAGGGGAAAAAAAAGTTGGAGGTGTTTTACTCTGTTAGACTTTTTAGTTTGATTCTTAATATTTTAGAAATTCGCAAGTGGTCCTTATAGTTTTAGATTATTAATTAGGTGCTGTGAAGACCGTAAACAATTTAACCACAAAGTCATTTTATCAGCAGCTATATTTTGTATTGATAGTAAACATGCTTACGGAATCTTGTGTTATATTGTAATGAGTTGACTTTACCCAACAGATGAGGTGCGATTACGATCCCCACCACCGTACAAGCAAAGTCAACTCATTTGTCATCATAATCACATTCACACGTCAATTCCTCAAAATTATTTAATTGAAACAAATCAAGTCATCACTCAACGTTATCAAAATCGTTTCAAACATGTTAAACAACGGCAGCTAAGATAATTTTGATTTAAGAAATTGGTACTTGCCTGTAACTGACTTGTCAGAATAATCTACTTCGCGTGTATGCTCATCAAATACGACGTTTTCCAAAACTGACAGTAGAAAAACATTATCATTAAGAATTAAGAAAACATATATAAATGGGAAAGGATAGTTTACATCGAAGTGATCCTGAGATATATATTACCTGTACCGAATTTGATTGCATTAAAAATATCGGGCTCTTTCTCTCTGGATAGATCAATACACTTGGCATAGCAGCCACCTTCGATGTTTGAGACACCATTCTCACTCCAACAATGTTCATCATCTCCAATCAGATACCTATTATGATCCGTAGAAAGAGTTGTCTTTCCCGTACCTGATATGGATGAAGAGAAGTAACCATGAGAACAGATCAAGGGAGGCTGGAAGAAGCCATACCCCATACGGAGTAGTAAGCATTATTCATACAAATGATTCAAGTATGGCTACAAGGAGGATTAAGAAGAGGAAGATAAGGCAGGGCAGCGTCCGGAGGCACCGTATTCCGACGTGGATGGTTATGATACTCTACCTGACAAACCAAAGAAGAGAGCAACATCGCCATCTTTGCCCATATTGCAGCCAGAATGAAGAGAGAGGATTTGACGCTTAGGCATGAGATAATGCATAACACTGAAAAGACCCTTCTTCATTTCCCCGGCGTACTGTGTGCCGAGGATGACCATTTCCCTCCTAGCAAGATTAATGTCTATGCTAGTAGAGGATGTCATGTAGTGAGTATAACGATTACACGGGAACTGCCCAGCATTGTATATAGTGAAGTCCGGAGTACCGAATTCCTCCAGCTCTTCAGGAGTGGGTCGGATACACCTGCCACCCACCCAGTTATCCATTTTGCACACTCAACTAATACACATTCATTTCTCACCCTTTTCCTCCACTCAAGCATGGATCATAATATAAATTAAAGCTTAATTTCAACGATGAGGAGACTTATCTGGCGGCCTTATCTGAAAGAATAAGCAAATAACAGTTGATAATGGCGGTTTATCATTCTTATGATTTACTTACATGTTGTGCATAAACAATGAATGGTAAGCTCTGGCAGAGACTATCCTGACTTTGATTCTGTTCTCAGGGTCCCAGTTCAAGAATTGATCATTGACAAAGACCTGCAAATTGAGAATTATCATCCATGGAATTAGATTGATTAAAAAAAGGCATCTTTCCAAGGAAAATATATTCCTATCATGACAACACAACTTGGTGTTACAACTATTTCTCATACTGTAGATGCCATCCAAGCTCAGCTGGATTTTTATTCTAATGCTGCCAATCTGTTCTATTTACAATCAGGCTGCTCTGAGGGCTCAATCTTGCAAAAGCATATATCCTTAATAATTTTGCCCTGGCAGGGAAGCTAAGGTCCCAACAGCATGAATACGACTTGTGCATAATAAATACAAGGCTCCGCCTAGGAAAACGATACCTCTCAATAATAGACACAACGACTGTGTGTGTGACACGTCATGTCACTACACCCAAGAGATAAGTTGTAAGGGGATGTTTCGCCAACTTGGACAAATGAACGATACCAGCACCATCCCCACGTTACCATCATATAAAAGCAAAATAATATCTTATAATGGTGGATCAAAAAATATATATATTTGGTTGGCAATATATATGTTTCATAATGTATATTATTATTAACTAATAGCTCTTTCCTTTCAGGGAGGCCTTTTTTCAAACAAGTACCATGCCAAAAGAGAAAAAAGATAGAGAAATGACCTTGTCCAAAGAGTTCAAGTAATCAACAGCTCTTTCTCTGTTTACCAAGAAAGTATGCTCGTCCATCTCAATATTCGGCGAACCCCTATAAAGCACCAAACACGCAGAAGCTCAATATCAAAACGTATAAAAATAAAAGAGAAAATGGAAGAGGAAGTGGGGAGAGAGAATTACGTACTTTCCCCACCAAAGCTCAGCCTCAGTATCGTCATCCTTTACAACACGTTTATCCCTGGGAGATCGTCCGGTCTTTGCACCAGAAAGGGTTCCCAAGGCTCCCGTAGAAGTGATGTAAGACCCTTTCTCATACTTAATCGCCTGCTCATACAGTTCTGCATCAAGCCCATAAAAACACTCAACGGTCGTATATTTTATTTTTATTCCAGATTATGACGTGTCGTTATGTATCTGGAATTGTACGGTTACGAAATTCGAAGATTATACGTAGACTTCCATAAATCAAGGCGAATATTTTATTCATCAGTTGTTATTATGCTATTGCTGACTAAGTCCGTTCAAAACTCCAAACACAAAATATGCAATTGCATAAGGGTGAGGCTTAACTCATTTTCGTACGCTACATGTACTTATTGACGTAACAGGTGAAAGAACAGAAAAGGAGGGAAAAACAGACCAAGTGAACCGCAAGATACAAGTAACGCCGAAAGATACGATTTTTCAGGAAACATAAAAGCGCAAAGGATTAGAAAATACCAGCTGGGGAGAGATTGTAGAGAACATGCGTAAATTTTAAGGAACTGTCGCTGACGCTGATGGTGGGTGTGACATGGTGGTGCGATACATGAGAGACCGCAGAGCGTTCCGATTTCCTAGCCGGGTCTCCTTTCACCACCTTGGGTCCGGTTTCCCTCGTCAGCGAAGCCAAAGAAGCACTGTTCCAACACCCAAAAAAGGATTAGTTACACAAAAAGATAGTCCAATATTTTGTTTCGTCTTCAGTAATACATTTTCTAAGTTGTTTTGTTAAACCGCGTTAACTGGATCCAGTTTTACAGAGAGATCATATAAGCGAATCGTCTCGGATAGTGAGAAATAACAGAGCTTGGTAAATGATCCGACTTAGTTTAATGGGAAAGATCCGTGTTAGCGCCATGATGGAAGAGGATCCGAATTGGCCGCAATGGGGCATCTGCAAAGGTGTCGTTTTTATTACAGGCCCGTCATCTTGGGTCCCCCATCAATATCATTCGAGTCCTTCAAGATCATCTCCGCGTGACGGTTTTCTATTTTCCATTTTCCTCGGTTTACATCTCGGATCGGGCCCCACATACACATTGTATCGTTCCCTTTCTGATTAAAATGTTTTAATTAATAACTTTGAATATTATTATTTACCGGTGACGGTGATTATGACGTTGTGTACCTGATGGATTGAAGCTGCAGTTTCTGGCGCTCTTCTTCGGACAGAGAGGCGAAGGTGGTCTGATTGTTTTTTATGGGAGTGTTGGGAGCAGACTTCTTCCTCTGGAGCGAGTGAAGCTCATCGATGGTTTGAGCCTTCACCGGAGGAGCACTGTCGTCGTGGCAAACCTCTCTCTGCTTCTTGTGCGTCTGAATCTTCGTCAGTCCGTTGCGTGCCGTCCCGTTACCATTTTCGAAGCTGAAATCTCCGTTACCATTCGCAGCCATCTTCGTCTCCCTGCAAACAGAAATCCATCGTCACATATAAAAACAGAGCACAAAAAAACTGCCTTTAAAAACCCCGAAGGAAGAGAGAGAGAGAGAGAGATGACCTGTTGATTTGGAGGAGGATGCGAGAATGAGGAAGGGGAAGCTAATGATGAGGGAGAGGGGAAGTAGGTCGTGAAATTAAATGATGGATCATATGAGGAGAATGCGAGTGAGAGAGATAATGAGCAAAAACGAGAGGGTGTTGCAGATATGCGAGGCGGAGTTGCCCTTATAAAGGGTTCAGTTGGGAGCAGCTCTTAACCAGGGTCAACATCTAACCATACTTGGTTAAATTTTATCCCCAGTCAGAGTCAAGCTCCGTGTAATGAAAATCAGAGACTCTCAATATCCGATACATGAGAATCGGGGTCAGACAAAATCGTCCTCAATTCCGATCCTCTGCTCCTCATCCCTACCGGATCTAATCCTGGTCTCTAACTCTAATGAATCATACGGAGTGGAGTATTCATATAGTACGAGTATTATTTTGGTTGTTACCTATTTGTTTATTGTATTCTTTGCTTTTTACTTTATTTTTCAAAAAGTTTCCCTGAAACTGACAGATTTTCAACCAATATATCAATGAAATTTAAAAGATATTTATATTAAATTTTTAAGAAATCATGGAGGTACGGGAAAAAGGGAAATTAATTTCGAGAAAATGGAAGAAATGTGATCAATGAAAATTGACGGTGTCTAAAAGATAGGGAAATTCGGGATGGAATTATTAGGAATAGAGATGGAGGAAGAGAAAGGATGACGGCGTCCGGTCGCCGCGAGAATGGAAGATGAAGTTAAAAGAAGGTGGGGCCCATTTCTAACCAGATCAGCCAACAGCCATTGCTTCGGTTTATGCTCATGCTCCGAGTAGTGTGCGCTTTTATTTGCCTGTCTGATTCTTCTTTTGTATGGTCCGAGAGGGAAATATTATCATGTCAAAACCCAACACCCCCCCGGGCCGCCCCCGGCGGGAAAATAAATGATTTATTTAAATAAAATAATACTCCATGCCTTTCGTGTCTGAATTTTGTTTTATTTTTGGTCAAATTTTCAATTTCATTTTAATCTCTTATAAGCCTGGATGAAATTACCTTCCTACCATTTTAAAGTTACGATAAACTCTCTTAAACTTTATTCATCTCCCCGAAAACCACTTACCATTAATGTTTCAACTTGTTTGTCTCAGGTTGATTAAGAAAACATGACATCATTAATATTTCTGTTATCTCATAAACAAAACTGTCTATCTCAGATTAATTAAGAAAACATGACATCTAATGTAGAATACGTGATAATTATGTACTCCTCTGATTTTTAATAAATGACCTAATTGTTGAGTTGGTTTTGATCCTAAATATAAGACCCATTTTTCATATTTATCAATTTTCTCTAAATTAGCCTTATGGATACTCCCTCAACCATAATCAAATAGAAGATGGGGTATTAAGAAAGATAATTATGATATTTTAGAAAAAAAAACGTGTCACATTTCTTATAATTAACTAACTTACCTAACTTTCTTAATCTAATCAAATGAGTTAAATGAGTCTTATATTGAGGACATGAGGAGTATTTATATACAACCTCTAGTTTTTAATATAAAAACTTGTTTAGCTTTCAAATTGGTCTTAAACATAAGATTCTAATTCACTTCTTTATATTTGTTTATTTATTTTCAAAATAGTTTTGTTGTAGTTGTACAGGGTTCATTAAATAGTAATTTTAGTTAATATACATGATTAGTAAGGATATTCTAAGAAAGACAATAACTATTTATAATAAATAACTAACTTAACTAATTTTTTAAATTGATAAACTAGATTTTATATTATGAGAGGGGTATTGGTTTTTTTTGTATATAGCTTGGGCAAAGGGCTAAAGTGTCGTTCTCACCTTCCACCCATTTATCATCATAGAGAAATTGTCTGCAGAAATTGCGCATGACTGGGACGAAATAAAAGGAGAGGAAGACTAGAAAGTGCAAATACATAATTACACTTTTGTCCTTCACTCAATTCTTATCATCTAATATGCCACGGGTTCTTCATTAATGTGATTTGACAAATTCCATTTGCGTTCGGGGATCACGGCCATGATAATAGTAGGGTGTTTTTTGTTTAAAAAAAAAAAAAATAGAACTCACCAAGTTGGTCGTTAACTTTAAAACGTTTGGGAGATTATTTGCCATTGACTCTAAATTAAGGATAATTATTTACATTTTAATTTACTTTTTGTTCTTTTGATATTTTTTAATTTTTTTCTCATAAGTGATCTAAGCTTACAGGTCAAGCCTCGCCTTCCTTTTATCATCCAAGCTAGCTCCAGGTCACTTCTCAAATTTTAATTTGATCCTTTACATTTAACTGGCCATTTTGTTTTCGCTGCTTTATATTTAACTTTTTAATCTAGATTAATTTGATTTGATTCTTTTACTATATTTAAAATTTCAATTTGGTTACTTGACTTGATTTTTTCCTCTGATTTACTCGGATCTGATTAATAAATTCATTTTATTATACTGATGAGCTGCATGAGACTTTTTTGTTCAACCTTCCACACTTTAATTTGAAAATGTCAAAATTAAAAAAAAAGGCCTTTTGAGAATAATGACTGGATTATGAAATAAAATTGAAATCAAGAGTGAAATATAACACAAAGTAAATGAATCAAATTAAAGTCCAATAAAATTAAAAGACACAAGTAAACTTCAAAACAAAATCAAGAGGATCAAATGGAGGCAAGATAAAAATCAAAGTAAGAAAATGAAATACATGATCAGAAGAGACAACTATAGGATAAAGCAAAAATAAATAAAAATAAACCAATGAAAAAATATATTAGAGATAAATAAAAGCAAAGAACAAAAATAAATTTTATAACATTTGTTAAAAATTAATTTAACAGCAGACACCGAGCAGTGACTCCATGTTAAATCAGGTCGAGGCATTGATCTAATCTAATCAGATTATACATTATAGTAGCATTCATATATTTTAAGAAATTATAAAAAGTAAGCTATAATGACTATAAAATTATGTACAAAAACTCGATACGTTTAACCTATTATCTCTGCCCAAAAAAATAAGTGATATCTATCACCTGTTAATTGAAGTCCTCATAATAAAAATATAAGAGGATAGGATAACTCAATTTTAATATGAACACGGGAACTGTACAGCTGGTAAGGGAAATATCAAAAAGCTTCCAGGTTTTTCGTTTTTAAAATGGTATTAATCCATAAATCCAACAACCTTAAATTTGTAACTTTTTATATTTTTCGTTTGTGCGTAATCTTTTAAAAATGTCAAAGGAAAAGGGAAAAGGTCTGCACTTGGGTTGGGAGGGGCGACGAATCGGTCTTTGGTCAATGAGTGAGCAGCATCCACGTCAGCCGCCTAGTGCGCTGGGATATGGCAAGATGAGAAGTGGCCGAGCCGGCCTCCGACTAAGTGCTACGTCATGAGCAAAAATTAAAATAAAACAAAGCAACATTGAATTTAATTACAGTTAATTTAAAAAAAGAAGAAAATGAGCTGTAAATATTAGTTTTGGATAGTTATGAACACAAAAAATTTTGGTTGAAAAACTCGCTTGATTTATCATTGAGACTCTCGTATTCGTAATTTTATTTTGAATAAATTTTTTTTGATACTTAGTTATAATTAAATTAATAATTTGATTCGGTGTCGGTTCCCCAGACTACGACGGCACAAAAAAAAGAACCAACCACGTCATTGAAAAATTACCACCGCTGTATTTTATTGACTCCATATTTTAATTTTAATCCTTTAAATTTTAAATTATAGATTTATTTTTTAAAATTTTTTAATTAAAATATTAATTATTATAATTTAATAAAAATTTATACCTTATTATTCTTGAAAAACCAAATCTAAAATAAGAACAAATTTAAAATACTGAAAATTATATTAATCCTATTTTATTCATCAGGCTGGGTACGATATATCCAGGTTCCAGGTAAAAAGGCGGCTCCACCAAGTGGTTAGAATTTTTTTTTTTTGGGGTCAAAAGTGGTTAGAATTATATGGGAGAGGAAAAAATGAGAATGAGGTGGAACCCAACGGAGAATATAAAATAAATGGCGAAGAAAAGAGAGACAGTGGGTACATTCTAAAAATAAAATGATGGCATCGGATTCGGAGAAAAGAATGGACGCAAATCTCAAAGTAAAATAAATACGTTACATAATACTACCTCATCTCTTTAACATAACAGTAAGTCTTATATTTAATTTAATTCTACATATAAGATTTTAAAATAATTATGATAATTATATTAGTTATACATGTTAAAAGTTCTATCAAATAGTAGTTAGTTAATACCTGTGGTTAGTAAACGTATTCTAAAAAAAATAACACATACTATTTCCAATCCTTAATATAAGAGCTAGTTGACTAATTTAAGTAAATTAAGAAAATTAGAAAAATTAGTTCTTTATAATAAATACGTATTAATTTTTTAAAAATATTATTGCTAATCAAATGTATTGGTTATAACTATCATTATTATAAAGACTACCTTTAAAAAAATAGATAAATATGAAAGATAAAGTGAATTACGATATTATATTTAGGATCAAAATAAAATTCAAATAAGCTCTTATATTAAAGATTGAAGGTAATATTTGTTATAAATAACTAACTTAACAAATTTTTTAATCTATTTAAATTAGTTAACTGGTTTTTATATTATGAACCAAAAATGGTATAAGACACTAGTTAAAAAAAATTGTGATTGCATGATGTTGTTTGGATGATTAATGTGCTTTTTTTTTTTTCAATTTTGTTCTATTAAATATATGGGAGATATGAGAAAATGAGAAATAATTCAAATATAACATTTGTTGATATATGTATTATAAACTAGACGTACCAACGAGGGTTAGGTCTAGCAAAAGGGACTAGTCCTTCACAAAGTGACGAACTAAGGTTTGAATTCCTACTGAAAGAGATGTTTACATTTAATGCCTGATAGTATCTAGAATAAAATTACTTCTAATAAAAAGATACCTATGCTTTACTTTAAATAAAAAAAAAAAAACTAGATGTGGTATCATGGGTAACATGACGGACAGCCTCCGTGGTGCCATGATCTGATGATGGATTTTCGTAAGCCTTTTAAAGGGGTGTTTAGAAACCCTCAAAAGTGCTTCTTGCGGAAAACGAGGTAA